CGAACAGGACCCAAAGATTTATTAGTCGCACAGTATGACTGTGAAGAAAATGAACAAAAAACGCTACATTACTACGCCATAAATCAGGTAACTCAATGCGAGTTTGAACCACAAGAAATAGAAACAACAAATTTAATAGCCAAATCTTATTCAAAAACCCGAGCTAAAACATTAACAGGATACAAGTTTACAGCAACTTTCTCAGAGATAAAAATACATTGTTCTCAAGCCTCAAGTGGAAACAAAAAATCGACTTGATCTTTCTATCAAAGTAATATAATAAGACTTTTACAACTTAGCCATGAAGAATGTAAAAACGAACTCAATCGATTAAAATTTGTCACAAATAAAGGCACAAACCAAAATATGGGAAATTTTCAAGTTTTCTAGACTCTGCACATCAACCGGAACTTGAAAGATACCAAGGTCATATAAAATTAGATGACAAATACCCATTCCACGGCGCAAATGGACGATTAACTTATGATCTCCATGATTAAAATTAGATACCACACATTGGAATAAACAATCCTTCTAATTGCAAAGCTAATACAAAAAAACAAAGGATATCAAGAAATTATGTTTTGATTCGAAAAAACACAATTGACACGAGATTTGAAAGACGACACTATAATTTATCACTGAATACAATTACCTGAAAAAAAATGAGCACGGATTTTGCGATCCAACAACAAGAACACAAGCAACAATTGTTTGGTTCCTCGAAGACATATTTCAAGTTGCAAGAATAGACGCAAGAATGATCAAATTTCATCAAAAGTACTTTAATGAATCCATCCCTTATGATGAAGTAAACCCTGAAAAAGTCAGACAAACAAAAAAAAGGTTTCAAAAACATCAATAATATAGAAAACACCTTAACTCGTTTTCAAATCTACTCAGAAACGGAACTCGCTTGCAAGTTTAACTCTCCACTTTATAAAACACAATACTCAGAAATCCTTGTCGAATGCGAAAAAGGTTTCGACATGCACACAGGAAAACTAATAGTTACACCAAATCCAACAAAATACATTTCAAATTGCGAATCCAACAAATCACATCCCAATATCATTTCTAAAAAACACAGGAAGATCTGGTGGAAAACTTAGACCACAAGACAAAAGCATTACACGCTTAGAAGAACTGTCACTCATGAACAATACCTATTTTGGTTCAATTAACTATGACATCCTCTTAGATATGTAATTAGATTACACAATAAGTAGAATTTTTCGAGAAATGTCACTATCAGAACTAGAAACGCTTCATCATTTATGTGAACTTGAACGGACACAAAATTCTACAATCACCTGCACTTGCAGTATGTATCAAAAATACCTTATGCAGGATATTTGTTGTCAGGAAATAAATCAAATTTTATTAACTACGAAGGAAATATAATATGGTATTACACATGTACGAAAAAAGTATCACCATTATATGTATTTGAAGACAAAAAATGTTACAAAAGAATCCCAATATTCTACAAAAATTAAGTACTGTTTGTTGATACGCTTTCTAGAAGAACATATTTTTGAAATACAGCCGTCCCATGTGGTCCACAATGTTATAGAGTTAAATCCCAATGAAGATAAATATTATCTTCTCACACCATACCCTACACTCATGCCACCATTAAGGAAATTTTCACCAGAAAGTATTGAAGCTTCTGCTAGAAACCCAAATATAATCGACCAAAATTTACGAAAACTTGCAGAAACCGTAGGTTTTTCAGACATCTACACACAAGACTCTAGTGGATACTTTAAAGATATAAAAGACTACATTTATTTAAACGGTGAAAAATACCGTCCACAAGATATATCACCCATCAACATCTTTAGTTTTGTGAATTTAAAAAATGAACTACTCGCCCTTCAAGAATGGTCCTACTGCATCTTAGAAAAATTGATTATTTTTAATGCAAAGTTTATTATTTTTTTTTATTTCTCTTTTCATTTTTGAAAGGAATGAATAATACATGCGCAATCCACACACAAGTGAACAAACAAGCAAATGTAGCACGCATACTTTTCCCATGATTTTTCGGAATATTTTCAACCCCAATTAACAAAATACTTTCAGACGCTCAAATAAGTGAATACCAAAAAAATTATCAACCACACCCAATACATAGGTCAATTCACATGACAAAAGAAACACGAAAACTACTGCACCACAATTACATACATTACAAAATAACCATCCATTATCTTTAGTACCACGAAATTACAGGAGCATAACAAAGCACATCTCTACAAGTCATAGATACCCACAAAGTCCAGTAACTCACAATGTAACTCAACAACTAAATGTAGACGAGACGTATGAACAGATTATAGAACAACCACATACCACTAATTTCCGTTCTCAGAACAACCATCGTTTTAGACAACGATGAGCCGCCAGATTGTAGCCCTCAACCGTTCCCTTTCATACCAATCCAACCTCCAACGTCACTCCAAGATCTCACCATTTTTTGATTTCTCTCCCTATCCCGAATCATCATATTCTAATAATTCACCAAGCATGGATTCATACAACACTTCAACGAACACAGTTTTTCACACCATTTCCCAATTTAACAACTCTGAATATGAAACCCCCGATGATTTTGCAGACTCCGAACCTAGCCCATCTACTTTTTTTCAGCCCCCCTTTCAACCCCATTATACTCAAATCCCTGATGAGCCTTCCTCAACCCTTTCCTCCTACACTGATGTAACCCCAATCTACTCCCCAATGACCAGTGACCCACTTGACCACTCTAGCCCCGTTGATACTGAACTCGAAAACGAATTAGATAACTTCATAACCCTTCAACAACAGCCTACAACATCAGCCTACAACAACATAACACACAAATCATTCATCACCTCTCACAAACCATGACATCCTCAGAATCCTCCAACTCCCCATCCACTACTGGAGAAACCCTAGCCTACCGAGTATTTAAACCAAAACTCCCCAATACTCCATTCCCTTCTAACCCTCGACCAGTTCAAATTTTTACGGATCATCCACTCCATACTAATACAAAAGAATTTCTCCAAGTTTGCTTACCATTTTTTCCACAATACACTTACTATCACTCAAATCCTAATAACGAACAACCAAACTACACTAACGAAAATGCATTAATTCCCACTTTTTTGTTGACGTCGTACTATCATTTCAGTAACCTATTATCGCTCCCACTATAGAAAAATCCAGGTGACAATGAATTTTGTCAATCTAGGCTACATCACCCAACTACAGCACTTCACGAAAAACAGTTCACAACCATCGGATTAAATCAAACACTAACTAGAATCACTGCACAAAAAGCTAATAGATTTTCCATTAATTATTATGATCGCGCTATTGCACAAACCAACGGAGATATCTTTTCAAATGACGATAATAACGCTAACCCCAACTAACTGAGAAACTTTTCATCAAATTCTCATTTGTATTTACTATCAACTGCATGAATAAAAAGTATGATCCCATTATATCCGCACCACTTCGCGACACAAAAACCTACGACTCTTATTTCAGTAAATTTAACCATTTTTCATTAAGTTTTATTTTCCTAACACTCAAAGAATGTGAGTTACACTGCTCACATCAAATTATGTTACGCACAAAACAAACTCACACATACACTTGATATAAATTCATACAACACCATTGCACAACTAATACACCATCACGAAACCCACACTATCGATTTCAATTTATTAACTCCGAATACATTTCACCATTCTTCCTAAACTTCACATATTGTATCAAAGACACTAACGTGCAAGGATTCCTTAGAAACTACGACCCTATCAGACAAATGTATACATTCTGCCCACTAACCCGAACTTTTAGTGTTGATGAATCCCGTCCTTTAATTTTCCCTCTCAAATATACAGCCTGTTGAAATCCCACTCCTATTATACCTTCATAACACCAAATTTAATAATAAGCTTTATATTCTAATCCAAAACACACCGCATGAATTCTCACCAAGTAGTGAGGAGCACAAGATCATCAAAACACTTGATGATCACTACTGCAAACTAAAAATATCACCCTAAACTTCTAACAACATCAAACGTCATTCACGATATTTTTCCAAACGGATTTTTTGCTAGTAAGCATAAAAATGTATTTTCTCTATTAAGTTCAGAACACAACTAACTATTCTTTATAAAAGTTTCACTTCTTTTCAGATCTCATCACACCATCATCAAAAACAAACAAAAAACAAATAAAAAATTGAAAGCTTCTTTCTTAAAAATTCTAAAATTGTTTTAACAAATCGCAGTATAATTAAAAAGCAGTAAAACTTCTCCCAAATAGCAGTAAATTAATAGATTATACCCAATGCAATAAATTTCTTTCAACCA